CTGGTTGCACTTAAAAATGTGTTTGTCTACACCATCTCTCTTTTAGATATAGCCTTTACTTGAACTTCATCACATCCCTAATTCTGTAGAATAGCTTACTTAGACCACATTCACTCTGTAGAATGTGCCAAGGAGCACATTTTTCCTTTGAAGTTAATCTTTGTGCTATATCCATATAACAAATAGTATAAATTATAACCCTTTGTTTAATAAAGGAATTCCTGTACAATTTAATATTATAAAAACAATACAACATTTATAAATGTCACCATGTTAACAACTATTTTTCTTTGTCCACTTTCTTTCCTTCTCCTTTTAAAGAAATTTACAAGCTTCATGAATATGTACAATACATACATGCAGGAAACACCATGCACAAAAATGAAAATAAAAATAAATAAATTTAAAAAAATTTACAAGTAAAACTATATGTGTGTATATATGTATGTATATATATACATATATATATATGTTTTTACTATAATTGGCAAATAATACAGAAATAAAGCTAAAATTAGTTCCCTCGTCTGGAATAATCATCTTTGTCATTGCTGTAATCATGTGTATATATGAAAATAATCTGAAGTAATATGTGTATAGTTTTTTTGGTTTAGGATTTGTTTGCAGGGGGTGGCTAAATTGAGAGAGAGTTTCATGTATGACCCTGGCTTGTCTAGAACTCAGAGATGATGTGCCAGGATTTAAAGGCATGTGACACCACTCTCCAGCAGGACTTCTCTTTGATGTGAAGGTTGAATGAGTTCCCACATATACTGAGCATCACTTTACCACGGGGCTAATCCCTTAGCTTCTATATATAGTTTTTAAGTCATTTTCTGCATTATCTTAGAAATATTTTTAATGGTACTTCATAGTTCCTAGAACTTCCCTTTTACTTTAAAGAGAGGGGCTCAGGAAAGCATACTCTGTGGTACAAACGTTTAATCCCAGCACTCAGGAGGCAGAGGCAGGCGGATCTCTGTGAGTTGGAGGCCAGCCTGGTCCACAAATTGAGTTCCAGGACAGCCAGGACAGTTAAACTAAGAAACCTTGTCTTGAAAAACAAACCAAAAGTTTCTTGAATAGGATTGCTATTTCTCTTTTATTCTTGGACCTAATTAGTTGTGTTTTTTGTCTCAATCATGTAAGAATATGAATCTTCTGTAACCACAAGGTTGGGAGGTGATAGAGTCTGTATAGCAACCCAGATCTTTTAACTTCAAAACCAGTTATTTTTCTACTTCTCTGAACTTTAGAATCTTTAACAGTAAATAAAAATAAGAATAGCTGTTTTACTTGCTTTGATATAAAGATGGTCACTACCTGAGGAGTATTGCGTACAATCTTATGTGCTAACTAAAAGACAGTGATGATCAGTGGCCATGTACTGATACTCATATTATAGGATGTGTCCTGTAAGACTGTGTCACTGAGAGTATTGTGTGTTCAGGATGCTTGTGTGTTGTGGAGGACCAGCTGCTTGAAGTCAGGAACTCATGGGTGCTGGAGCTGTGTCCACTGCTGCTGTCTGTCACCCTGAGACTATCATGAAGCATTATAACTAGTAAGAATGCAAACTATAACTTCTTCTGAGGGCATGAGGCTTTTATGTCATTATACATTGCATATTACCTGTGTATTTACTTTGTTCTCAGAGAACAGTATTAATCTCATAATTAATTAATCTCATAGTTAATTAATCTCATAATTGGTTTGGGGACTATAGGAACAAATGCAGGATTTAGTATGTGCTAAACACAGGCATGATTCAGTTTACTCGAAGCTTTGAAAACAATGCCCTCTCTATTTTTTTTTTTTTTTAATTTTAGGTAAAAAGTGGTAATTACCAGAGTAGGACTATCTTTGAGTACAAAGACTGCTCACTCTCTTCACTTTAAACTACACTTCCTGACAGATTGATTGCTGTATGGTGTTCTGGTTGTCGCTTTCTCTAACTCTTATTTCACTTTTTATTCCTCTCATGGTTGTGGATATGCAACTCTTATGAAATTTATTTTTTATTTTAAATTCAGTAGATGCCATCCCTCAAATGTATTCTATATGTCCTGCTTCTAACATGGCAGAGGTGTAAGAGAGAGGCTCCTCTTGTGGAATAGCAATGACTTAATTTTCTGTGATTCTCACCATTACTAAAGTGGTCTGCTAGGGTAAGCCAAGAGAGAATAAGGTGTAATTGCTCATCCTTCCAGTGTATCCCTGAATACCAATGAATGAGGAAGACTTAAGGGAGAAACATTCTTTATTTGGGAAATTGGAAAGATCAAAAATGATACCAGAATGCAGTACGTGTGCAGCACTGAAGTCTGTGAGGTCGAATATCACTCACTCTGGAATCTTCTATAAGAACATTCGTCTTCATGCATCTCATAGAAACTCCGTAGACTAGTTGGGCCTAGAAAGAGGGAGCTACTTGAACCACTGTACCATTTTAAGAATTGTACTATAAAGACAAAACTTAAAATCTAGAAATGCAGGGAAATTAGCACACCATGTTTTGTTTCACTATTAACTCATTTTCTTCAGAAATTAATAAAGAGCATCAGCTTTCAGTAATAAGACTTGGTAGTACCTATACTCACTTGATAAACACCAATTCATGAACTACTGAATGTATACCTGTTACTCTTTGTGCAAATCCTCAGTTACTAGCAAACTAGTTAGTAGATTATTATTGGAAAAATTGAAGTAGTGTTTGTAGAGAGAGGCTTATTACAAACATTTTATTTTAAAACTTGCTAATATAATTTATTATCAAATTGCTTGTCTTTTAACCTGTGTTCATCTTGTTTTTGAAACATGAAGAGTTGGGTTTCATTCCATTCCTGAATTCACTTTATTTATTTACTTATTTATTTATTTATTTATTTATTGCAAACATTGATAGATGAATTGTGAGCATGTTTCAATGTATCCATGAAGTTGATAATTGATACTAGTTAACTGACCTCTGGACAAATCCAAATATAGTTAGGTAATTAATAATGTGTTAGACACTTAAAATTCATATTCAGCATTTTAATGTAAATATTCAGACCAATATGCTTTTGAAGAAAAAACCTTTTATGACTATAATTTAAACCTGAAAATTAGTTTCTATCCAAGTAGAGCTTTTTGCTCTACTTGGCAGAATCACTTGCCTTTCCCTCCCTCTGACTGTCTCAAAGAAGCTAAACAAGTGATATGCTAGTGTTTATTCACTAAACCAGCTCTTGGTGAGAAGAGATTGTGGACACTATTTTTTAGTGTTTGTTGATTTCCATGATGTAACTATTTCCATCAGACCCAATTTTAGGCTAGTGATATTGGATGTAGAATTGAGAAAACATGTACAGTAGACCAGCATTGTGCAGTGTTTCCATCATGCAGACAGAATGTATACAACCTCAGAAGGGTAGAAAAGAACAAGGTTTAACAGTTTGAAGAAGTGATGAATTCTGAGTATCTATTACTTTAATATAGCTAATTATGCCTGTGTGGCTTAATGTTTTATAATGATTGTTTCAGCAAACAGTGTGTATCTCATGATACACACTAACTCCAGTTGTTCTAGACCTGTAAAGTATCAGTTTTTTTCTAACTATGCAATTCTGGTTGCAGTAAATGTCTGAGCATTTATTTTTCTAAAAACAAAGCTGCAGTCAAGTCCCACATATCTTTTCCAGTGTCATTTCAAGTCATTGCAAACTGTCATATGTTCTATGTCCCCTGCCCTAGTTGTAAATGACTTACAATTTTTTAAGCATAGCACACTTTCCTACCCAAGCCTTTTAAAAGTGTCTTCAGCCTTAAATGACCTTACTTCATCTGCCTGGTTTTCAAAATACTGTTTATTTCTTTTTCTAGAAATATCACAAATGCTACTGATGCTCATTTCCTTCTGTGGGAAACTCCCATTCTCCTTGATGTTTTTTTCAGTTCCTTGTACTTCATTTGAACTCGTTTACTCTTGTAGCAAGTGTCTGTCATGCAATAGATTGTTAGTTACCTTTGGATCATACTGTACTCAACACATACATAACTTAAAATGAATTAATAAACACTTGTTTGTTTAAGTAGGAAAAATTGTGGAGAATGCATAATACAGTCTAAGAAACTGACCAGAATGTAAGGTTTTTGAAATTACATCAAATGCACTATTCTTTCTCCTGATAGTTCAGAACCAGATTATTTGTTGTCTGTCCGTATCTTGAAACTGGAGAATATCATGGGAACTCTGGAACTTACTGAAGGAGAATTTCAGAGAGCAAACAAGGCACTTAAGACCAAAAAAGATCAAATTGTTTAACTATGTTTACAAATTATTGTTATTCTGATTTAGTGTGCCTTCTGGTGTTCTCAGAATAAAGCCAGAAGTACTGTTTCCAGTATGAAGATGGATTGGGCCTTTGTATTAGTAATATCCCTGTGAGAGAAGCAAAGTTAATCAAGCTCTGACTTGAGGGAGACTTGTTTTCAGAAATGTAAAGGGCAAGCACCTGCCTCATCAGTCTGTTGGGCTCTAGGGCATTTTTTTCTGGAGTTGCCTGATTGCCTTCACAATAAGTGTTAATGAGATCAAAGTGTGCAAAGGAAATGCTCTAAAGTCAAAAACAACCCAAGACTTCTTGGAAGAAAGTGGCACTTTCTTTGTGATGTTTCTGCATTTTTTTTTTTTTTTTTTTCCTATCTTTTACCCTAAGCTGCCATCTAATGGCAAAAATTTAAATGACATGTGTATAAAATCCAAAGAGCACATTGAAATGTGAAGATTCATTATAAATCCTTAGACCTTAATTTTGTATTCTATTCGTTCAGTTTTTTTTTTTTTTTTTGGCCCTCAGAGAAGTCATATTTATTATTAACCTTTGTTAAACAATGCTTCTCTAAGGATGTTTGTTTTAAAAGTTTGATTTCTTTCATGGAGCACTATAAAAAGTCTATGCTTTGGTTCAATCTAGTAATTTTCTTTTTCCCTTTTGCGTTTCCTTGTCTTTGTCCAGAGCGACAGCACTCAGATACCATGGTGTTCCTTTACCTGTGGGTAGTCTTTTGTGTCATCAGTTCCTGCTATACCCTCATCTGGGATCTCAAGATGGACTGGGGTCTCTTCGATAAGAATGCAGGGGAAAACACTTTCCTCCGGGAAGAAATTGTATACCCCCAAAAGGTATGTATGGAATGTCCACACTTAAAGAAAAAAGTTAAAAACCTTAGCTATATCAATAGTTAGATCATACAACAATACTGACCCGAAACTCTGATTACATTAACCTAAATACGACTAGAATATAATTGTCCAACAGGGTGGCACACGCTTTTAATCCCAGCACTCAGGAGTCAGAGACAGATGGATCTCTATAAGTGCAAGGCCAGCCTGGTCTATACAGTGAATTTCAGGACAGCCAGGGTAGTTCACAGAGAAAGCCTGTCTCAAAAAACAAAGCAAAAATTATCCAAGACACCAATCCAATCCATAAAAATTTATCATGATTGCCATGTGGTAGATGCAGTGGAAATGTAAGCAGATAAGCAAATGGCGGTGTGATGTAGCAACTATGGAGAGTTGACTTACCCTGAGAAACCTCTATTTTCTTAGCATATTTGGCCATTTGCACTCTCCCTTTTTTTTTTTTAATCTCAAATGGTCTTCCCTTAACTTTATAATCTTCCCATTATGTTATAATTATGCTTGGGTGTTCATATTCCTTGCTGCTCAGAATAATTCTTGGTGTGTAGCAGACTTGTGTACACCGAATGAGTGGCTACGTACTTGACTGAAAAGGCAGCTTTCTGAACACCCATGGGGAAAGGACGGCAGACTGCATAGATCCTGTTGTCTAGTGCAATGAGTATTTGTTAGTACCAACCCAATCAGGAAAAAAAGTATCTTTGCACAGATAATTTAGTAAAGGCAAATACCATGATTAGACCTTGAAAAAAAATTAAACAATGAGCTGGGAACCTGGGTATGTGTATTCCAGGCCCATTTGTATCACTAACTAAGCTATTTAGTCAGCCAGACTGCAGGGGATTCTCAAAGATAAGACTGTAGACTACATTAGCTCTTGATATATTCTCAGTCCTAAAGTTCTGTTATGGATAACATATAGATTAAGTCAATAGTATTTTATCCTATACCAAAATGTCACCATTGCATCAAATTTGTGTTTTGGAAAGTATATGATTGTGTAGTATTGAGTAAAGAATGCTGTGATTGAGGCATTAAACATTTTTATAATTCTCAGTTAAGAGGAAAATGAATGGGATGGGGCCAGAGTCATGCTGATAAAGCACTAACAGGGTCAATACACAGATTAATCCCTAGTGTCATTTTAAAAAAGGAGAAGACTGTCAATATTCAGAGTAGGCATGAATTCAGTTAAAGCTACTTGTATGTTCACCATGTGTGCTTCCTATTACTGCTTGTGATGTTTGGTGAACACTGCACTACATTTATTTTTAAAGCTGGTTACTTTAGTTCACTGTGTCTTTACATAAATTAGTCTGTTTTCTAGTAAAATGAGTTCTTATTTACTATTTTCTATGTAATGAAATTAGTGAGTAGAATCTTTCAGTTTCTTCATTATATTATATTTTAGTGCCACAGAAAATAAAGTATATACTTTCCTACCTTGTAATTGCAAATTTATAAGAAAAAAAGTGAAGTAACCATTTGTGAAGTCCAGTAAATCTTCATTATAAAATCCTATCATGGTCCTCACAAAAATCGTGCTGGCTTTCTCTCACATGGGGAACCTAGATTGGTGTGTGTGTGTGTGTGTGTGTGTGTGTGTGTGTGTGTGTGTAAGAGCTGTTGTTGGGGAAGCAGAGGGGAGGGGGCAGGGGGTGAGTGAGACTGAAGACTGACAATGCCCTGCTGAAGCCTTTTGCTTATTGTATACTAACTTTTAAATTTTTTAATTTAAAAACTAATCAGTTGGTGGATAATGTCTAAAATGTATTAGTCAAAACATTAAACACGTTATTTAAAATTATAGAGGGCAAATGGAATAGGCAGTTATAAATGTCTGTCTCTGGGGAAGGGAAAAGAGGAAGTACAGGGATCAATTATTGGTTCTTGTTAGTAGCCGGCTAATGGTGACTCATAGGCTTCGTTAAAATTAAACAGGGCTGTAGAGATGGCATCGTGCATAAGAACACTTACTGATCTTGGAGAGGACCTGCATTCAGTTCCCAACACCCCCTGCAGCTTACAACCACCTGTAACTCCAGTTCCTGGGAACTCAGTGTCCTCTTCTGGCTTCCAAAGGCACCAGGCATACACACAGTACACATACATACTTGCCAGTGAACACTTGCACACATAAAAGAACAATACTTTCTAAAAGTAATTTAAGTGAATACTACAGCTTAGTAATAGCAGTTCTAGGTACCAAAATGCCACAGCCTTTAAATACATTTTGAAGTGCTAATTTTGCTTAATAATAAGTAAATCCATGGCAGTTTTTGTGTTTAAGACTTGGGTAATTAAAATGAATTAGTTGAATATTATTTCTTATGTTCAGCCATGTTTGTGAAAACTAAGCCTCATTTGATTTATCAACATAAAAAAAAACAAGATAAAACTTGTACTATACATGGGATTAAAAAAATTGAAAATGTAAATGGTACAATTAATAAATGTGCTAATGTCCTTTAGTATTAGTGACTTAGTCATTGTCTTACCATGTTTCTCCTAGAATGTAACCTCAGTTGATCAGGTTTCTCATTTAACTTAGAAGGGAGTCTAGTGTACATTGTGGGCATAAACTATACTTGTTAAGTGATATCTGAAACTCAGTATTACATTCAACACTATTTAGGGAAACTAAACCCTATGTAAACATTTCCCCCATATATCTGTTAGTGAGACATCTGTGGGTCTTAATAGCTGATGTAGGGGTCGTTGGTGAGAAAAGTGATGAGAAACATACTCTATTTGCTTGTATTTCTTAGGCCTACTACTACTGTGCCATCATAGAAGATGTGATACTGCGCTTTGCTTGGACTATCCAAATCTCTATTACTGCTACAACTTTTCAACCTCATGTTGGGGACATCATTGCTACTGTCTTTGCTCCCCTTGAGGTTTTCCGGTAAGCAAACCTTTGAACAATCTATCAAGGATTCTATTAAAAGATGCCCAGTACTGGGCCCGCAAGTTCACTCTGCAGGTAAGGCTCTTACCGCCACCAAGTCTGATGATCTGAGTTCAATCCTGGGACCCAGATGGCAGAAGGAAGTTCTCCTTGACCTCCGCACATGAGCTATGGCATTCGTGCCCACACAAATACAAAGAAGATGATTAAATGTAATAAAATTTGTTTGGGCATGGGGTGGTGCACCTTTAATCCAATCACTCAGGAGACAGAGGCAAGTATATCTCCTTGTGAGTTCAAGGCCAGCCTGGTTTGCATAGAGAGTACTCGACCAGCCAGTGAGTCTCTGTCTCAAAAATTATTATGAAATCATGAAAAGATAGGTTTAAAAATATCAGACATTAAGAAATGAACCAAAACATGTTTGTACCCATCAGTTTTCCACTGTGAAAGATAAGCAACAGGTACAGGGTGGAAAGAAAGGTTTCAGAGAAACTTGAGTTCATGGCCGGGGTGGTATGGCAGGGCATGATGACATAGCATGTGGTGGAGACTTGTCCATCATAGTGGACCAGGACCAGAAGACGGAGGCCAGAACTAGGGGCAGGTATACATTTCAAAGATTCCAAGTGACCTTCTCTGCCCGGCCCCACCTCCTGCATGTTCCACAGCCTTCGAAGTAAGACTGGAAAGATTCAACACATGAGCCTTTGGGGACACTTGAGATTCAGACCGTTGCGATGTCTAATGCCCTGGAGTTAAAGTTAAAATTGTAACAGAAATTATAAAAATTTCTTGTTGTTGATTTTCAGACAAGGTTTATCTGTGTAACAGCCTTAGTTGTCCTAGAACTCACTTTGTAGACCAGGCCAGCCTTGAACTCACAGAGATAGATCCACCTTCCTCTGCCTCCCGAGTGCTGAGATTAAAGGCATGCACCACTACTTCCTGGCTAAAATATTTTTAATAGACTGAAATTGAAAGTAATAGCAAAAAAAAAAAAATGAAAATACAACTAAAAAGCCACTGGAAATATAACTGTAAATGTATGTATCAGAAAAGTAGAAAGCTTTAGAAATTTTTAGAAAAAAATTAAAAATGCAAATCAAACCCAAAGAAGGAAACATAGAATCGAAATTACCAGCCTAGAAACAAATGTGCAGTGGAGAATATTAACAAAATCAGACTCTTTAAAAGAGTAATATTCAATGAAGTGCTTACTTAAGACTAATCTAGAGAAAGTGGGAGGAAGAAGCTACAGCTTCCAGAAACCCTGAAGAAGTCTGGGATGTGGTGAGTGACATGTGTAAAACTCTGCATCCCATCCCTAGTGCAGGAGAAGTTCTGAAGGTTTTTTAAGAGACTGACTGTAAGTGCCATTTGGTGAAATAGTTTACCATAATCAGTAAGAAAATAGAAAATCTAAGAAATTTGTATTTTTGAAAGCACCAAAATTTAAATCAATATCTGAATATTTTCCATAAAGAAAACTCCAGACCCAGAAATTCTTCCAAATAGTTGAAGTAAATTTTTAACCATTTGTGTTGTTGTTGTTGTTGTTGTTGTTATTGTTGGTTTTTTGTTTGTTTGTTTTTGAAAAGCACTTCAAAGGAGAGGGATGAAAAAGGAGTATGAGGCTAGTATGACAGACATCTGAACCTCCAAGAATATTCCCAGAAAGACCTTGTGCTATCACTGTGTTGTTTTGCAGCATTGCTGCAGAAATCCTGAACACAACATTAGCCAGTGAGTCCATTAGCATCTAGAAGGTTAATACTTCAAAATTTAGGATCATTCTATGAATTAAGGGTTAATATTTGCCTTAGTTACTGTTCTGTTAGTGTGAAGCTTGTAAAAGGCAGTGTTTAATTGGAGCCTCTGCTTCAGAGTGTCAGCATGTGGCCAGGGGCAGGAGACATGGCAGCAGGCAGGCATGGTGGAAGCAGTGGCTAAGGGCTGTATCTTGATCTGCCCGCTGTGGTATCAGTTATACTTGTCACTGTCCCTCAGCCTGCACAGCCAGGGTGAAGTTCCAGTGTTAGCCTATTTCCCAGTGACAAGAGAGGCATAGGTAAAGAAACTCATCCATCATCTTTATGGCTAGTAAGTGGTGGAGCCATGATTAGACTCTAGACAGTCTTCCAGAGTTGAAGCTCCTGGATTATGCTGTTTGGAAAACTCTTGCCTTCAGCTCTCTTTATTTATCCAGCAGAGCTCTGTCTTCGCTCAGCTTCTCAGGGACTATGTTCTCAATTCTCAACTCCTTTGTTGGTTTTTCTTCCTCTTCCCGGACTGTAAGTGTTGGGATGGTACTCTGCACTCATCTCTTCTAATCATTTTATTCCCAAAGCCTGTGATTTGAAATAGGCCCTTTTGCTGACTCCAGCCCCAAACTCTGCCTTGATCTCCAGGCTCACTGTGTCCATCTGCCTACTGAATTCTCCACTTGGGGATCTAATGACTGGGTAGCTCCATCCTAACAGGAAGAAATTTACTTCTTTGGTCCTAATAAATGATGTCACCCTTCACTCAGACCACTTGACAAGTCCTGTCAGCTTCATCTTTGTAGATTTCTAGCCTCTTGCTTCCCATCACCATCCGCTCTTACTGTCATCATCCTCTTTCCCAGCATTGTAACTGGTCTTTATCTGTTCTTTTCTCCCCTAGTCCACTCATTCTTCCATCAATAGAGTTATCCATTTAGAGAAAATCATGTCAGTCTCCTCAGACCCCTCACTGTGAAACCTGGGCTTCATATCTCTAGGGATGGGTCCTCTTCTGACTCTCCCATCTTATTTCCTCCCATTTTAACCACAATTTTCCACTCTGGACCCACAGACCTTGCTTCTATTCATATATATATATATATATATATATATATATATATATATATATATATATATATATATGAATCAAAAGGTATATATCCTATTGTTCCCCCAGCCTAAGATCCTTGTCTCCCTGAGTTTCCTATGACTTGCCTCTTTGTATCATTCACACTTTTCTTGGATGCCTTCTGCCTGTCAAAGTCAGTTCCCTAACCAGTCTTATGGCAGGGCACTCTGTTTCTTTTCTGCTCAGTAGTCTGCAGAGCACCTAACAGCTGATTTCACTACTGAAATACAGGCAGAGACTGTATCTGTGCCATTCAGGGTCATTTCCTCCTTTTAATAAGCATTCAGTAAATACTTAGTGGGTAAAGAGAAATATTATATTCCAAAAGGCAATCTTGTTGACTTTCTCCCATCTTTCCCTTTCATTTTATTTATTGTGTAGGTGTGTGTCAGGGGAGTGGGGGTACATGTGAAGGTCAGGGGCAAACTCATTGTCATTCCTCAGGTGCCTTCCACCTTTTGTTTGAGAAAGGGTCTTTCATCAGCCTGGAACTTCACTGCGTTGGCTGAGCTGCTCTACTGGTCCAGTCCACCTGCCGTCCGTCCTGCCATTGTTGTAATTATGAATGCACACCGCTGTGCCTGGCTTTTGACATGGGTTCTGGGTTTCCACACTCATATCCTCATGCTTATGAGACAAGTGCTTTACTGATTGAACCATCATCTCCCTAGCCCTTTTTGATTGATATTCCAGCCTGTAATAATTGCTTTGTTTTTGTTTTCTTGATGAATAGGAACTTGAGCCTCCTGGAAATTTAGAGGTAGCAATATCTTCAGATCTTAACTTGGATGTATTTACCCTATTTTGCGTAGGCGATTTGTATGGAACTTCTTCCGCCTGGAGAATGAGCATCTAAATAACTGTGGTGAATTCCGTGCCGTGCGGGACATCTCTGTAGCCCCACTGAATGCAGATGATCAGACACTCCTTGAGCAGATGATGGACCAGGATGATGGGGTGCGAAACCGTCAGAAGAACCGGTCATGGAAGTACAACCAGAGCATATCCCTGCGTCGGCCTCGCCTCGCATCCCAGTATGTATAGCCTCCACTGCTGAGTAGAGTATTCCTTTGGTCTTTAACATAGGGTAACGTTAGCTAAGAAGCTCCTAGACTGAACCAGAAGTTGCTTATATTCAGCCATGCTTCCTCTCCAGACAGTAGTAGTAACAAACTACTCCATATGATCAACTTCTGGAATGTCTTCATGAGTACATCAGACAAGTGTCAGTGTAACTGGGAATATAAAAGAACATAGGAAAAAATGTTGGAAAATTATTCACTTGATTCTTGGATATGGTATATTTTGTATACAAATAACCTTCAAGTTCATTTAGAAATCCTATCATTTTTGTAACCTTGACCAAGCTCTTGAATTTCTCTGTTACCACTCTTCTATACTTTGGAATGTACGTAGCTCAAAGGGAGATTAAGAAGAATAATTCGACAGGCAGTGGTGTCACACACTTTTAATCCCAGCACTTGGGAGGCAGAGGCACATGGATGTCTGTGAGCTCCAGGATAGCCAGAACTACACAGAGAAACCCTATCTTGAAGAGGAAAAAAAAAAAAAAAGAGGAGGAGTTGTGAAACTGACTCAGAATCATCATAAAAAGAACCCAGCAAATAGAAATACATACACTAGTAGTCATTGACATTTAGAGAGAACAGATAGCAGAGTAGACTGGAATGAAACAGACAAGTTGAACAGTTTTGTGAAGATAAGGTGGTGTTTGGATAAGACTACAAGTGGAAATGAAGAGTGGAAAGGAAAAGTGTGTGTCCAGAGCTACAGTGAGAAAATATAATTGGGTGGACTCACCTGAACTGCCAAAGACTAGCAGGGCATTTAGACAGTTTAAGCAAGAGCATCGCTTGATGCTTATCCTTGGCTACATAGCAAGCTCAAGACCAGTCTGGTGTACACTTGACCTTGTCTCAAAAACAAAGAAGCAAAGAGCCAAAGCCTGAAAACTGCAAGCTTCGTCTTGTAGGCAAGAAAGAAACATGTTCTTTCAAAGACTAGAGATGTGAAAGGAGATTCTAATGACTGAAATACACACACACACACACACCACCACACCACCACACCACACACCCCTCGGCACAATGAGGTAAAGTCGGACTAAAAGGAACAAGAAGGAAGTAAGCAGAAGGTGCCCAGTGAGCATGGGGAAGCAAAAGTACTGCCAAGCTTAGTTAGAGATCTGGGAAGAAAGAGTAGAGAAGAGAAAAAACAGTAAGCTGAGTCTTAGGCAAGAAGAAAAGTAAAACAGCAGAAGTCAACAGGGAAGTCATCCAGAAGAACATTGAGTCAGCAGGGTTCGGGATGCTTGTGTCCAGGAAGGCATTGACAGGCTGGGTGGAGGTAAGGGGTGCTGTTGAGCAGTTAAGAGAGGGGTCTCAACCAGCTGAAGAAAATGCCGGCTGGCTGGAGCTCCTCCCTGTGAAACTCTCAGAGACACCAGCAGAGGGCAGTCTAAACACACGTTCTGTTTCAGAAGTGTTTGGCACCAGATTAGTTCATTTCAGGTGTTGAAGGGGAAACTGGATTGCAACCAGAGGATGATATTTAGAGGAATGGGTTTATGCTACAGAAAGTTCAGGGAATCTATAGTGAGACCTGAGTCTGAGACATTGATTCCTGCAGCTGCAGCACATCCTTAGCCCTTTGAATGTCAGTTTCTCCGTCTGCCATGTGAGAATAAGTCTCCTTTCACAGACACTACCTTCACACTTGGGGTAACGAGTTGCAGAACATTTTCATGTTACTTAATCCCTTTTTTTATTTGTTTTTGTTTTTCAAGACAGAGTTTCTCTGTGTAACACCTTTGGCAGTCCTGGAACTCCCTCTGTAGACCAGGCTGTGCTTGAACTCACAGAGATTCCCCTGCCTCTGCTTCCCGAGTGCCTGGATTAAAGGTGTGCACCACCACCACCCAGCTACTTAATCCCATTTTTATACATACAAGAATCTCCACACAGAGTCCTAAGTAACTGATCATTTTGTGCTGATTGGCAATCAGCAGTGCTAACAGTTTAACTGAGGCCCCTGCATTATCATTGCGTGGTTAGTACTCAAACTCTGACATTTAAACATAACCCACTGTGTTCCTGCTTGTTCACCTTCTCCAGTAGACACGTCCTGTATAGGATACATGCTTGATGGTGGTAAGCATGAACACAGAAAGAGCACTGTATGTGGTCAGTTACATGTTTATTTCCTCTCATTACCCTAGATCCAAGGCTCGAGACACTAAGGTATTGATAGAAGACACAGATGATGAAGTTAACACTTGAATTCTCTGGAGTCTAGATTAACATCCTTGGTTTCCTACTCTACAATTCTTCCCTTGACCAACGCAACCTCCAGCACCTTTTTCCAGCTGAGAACAGGAGAAAACAGAACACGTTCCCGGGCTCTTCAGATCGGGTCCTATGGACTCCGAGCAAGCTCACTGTGTTTCTTTTCTTTTCTTCTGGTTTAATCTTCATTTTCTATTTTTAAAACAAATACTTCATTTTGCCAATCAGAGGATGTTTTAAGGAACAAAAACCTAATATCTTATGGATTGTTTACAATCACAAAGACACAGATGCCCATCCGGATGAAGAACAGGCATTGGAAGGAGGCCTCTGATGGACGGCATGGACGTAACTCAGCCTACACCTGGCCCGGTTTTGACTGTTTGAAACCGGACCCTGGTTTTTAAATTTTCTGTCAGTTTCTGTGGAGAGTTTTCCCTCCCTTCCTAGCCAGCATAGAGGCCCTGGCAGCACTTGCAGGGAAAGTGCAGCTTGGAGCAGCAGCCCCCTCCACGAAGCTACTTTTTAATTTGACGTCGTGGGTTTTCTCATTTGGGGAGGGTTTGGGGTGGGTGGGGAATATGATGTATTTGTTACATTTGGTCTTCTCATTATTTATGAAACTTAACCATAGATGAATGATACTACTCCTGTGAAGGGAGGCAGGAGAAACTAAGGGTAGATGACATTTGGGGGGGTCAAGCCCACATACCTCTTTCAGGAAACAACTTGTACCAGTTTGACTTTTACTCTTTCCTTTTAACTTTAAGCCAAAAGTTTTATTGCTAAATTTTTAGTTACTACTCTGGAGCCCCAAATGTTACTGTCATGACCTGGCACCCCACTTGCTTCCCACTAGTAGACATTCAGAAGAAAGGTTCTAATAGTTGTGTCTTCAGGAACAGGTGCAGGATACATCTGCCCATATTCCAGTCTGCAATGAAATTCTACTGTGTGCTTCTGCGTGTGGGAGAATTGTAGTCTAAGTTTACTGACTGGATGGAAAGACCGGCCCATTTCAGACTCTTCACAGCTCTATTGATTATTTCCCCTTCTGGTGTCATCTACTTTAGCCAGAATTTGATCAAATTAAAAGTCTTTTGTGGCGAGTGTACTTTTGAGCATATAGAACAAATCCTTCATCCTTCAGATTACACTGACAACAGCAAACCTTGGCAAGCCATAAGCCCAGCAGTATTAAAGGTGAATGTTGGATTTTATGACCTCCCACCATAGAAACCTGCTTTTAAACCTCGTCATACTTTTAAAATTGTATTTCTTAGAAATTTCAGACTATAAATACCCATTTTTACTTCTTTATCTCATCCCCTTTCTTCCCAAATTCTCTAGAGAAACCTAAAAACATATAGCATTTGACTTTCTTTGGTATCAAATTTCGTATTCTTCAAGACTAGGGGTATGGATCATTGATAGTAGTGATTGCCTGGCGTTCTTGAGACCTTAGGTTTTCTCTCCAGCATGGGGGGGGGTCATTATTTAATAAAATTAATATAAATACCAGGAAGAAGTAAAGTCTGCATTAATGCCCCCACCCCTCAGATCTAGATGAAAGTCCCACAGGAGATTCAGCAGAGTCCATTCAGTTAGGCCTTTTCACTTTAACTTTAGACAAAGACACAGTGACCAGGAAGACAGTAGTTAACACTTACTTTGTTTTAAAACATGGCTGCTGCCCTCTAGTTCTCCCCTTTGTCATTAGCCCCTCCTGTGTATCATAACCCTTACTCATTAAAGTTACTGCGCTTCTAAAATTCTGCCAACTCACCCATTAACTTCCTTTTAGAAATACTTTCTTTGATTTTTATTTTGACAGGGTACAATTTTTTTTCTTCTTTCTGAATTGAGATTTTTAACACATACATACATACATACATACATACATACATACATACATACCCCCGAAAGCACATACAATGTTATAGGTTCTGTTGCTTTTTGTGATTTGTCAAGCATGTCCCTTGTCCCAACACTAAAGAACAAACATTTATTTAAAAAAAAAACTTTAAATAAACCATATACTTTATAATAATCAGTGGTAACAATTTAGAGACCCTTGGTAGATTAAAGGTTGCATTATTTCTATTTAGAAATTTCTTTCCTAACCTAGGTTTTTGCACTTTAAAGCAGGTGGTAGATTTCACTGGTCTCAGGGCTAATAGCAGCAATTATTAAGAATATATAGGAAAGTCCAGTAGCAAGTCATTTCTTATACAAATAAAATTAGTGGCACTGTGTATCCAGAGCCATATGAATTGTTGTCTTCTTGGCAACACACACAAACTGACACAGTTGACTTCTGATGTTTTTGTGTCAGTTAACAAGAAATCTCCACCTATTGGGATTCCAGGCCCTAATCAGTATTATTCATTTCATAAATAATGCAGTGATAGAGTGTATTCCTTTTCTGATGTCTGTCCTGTTGACTAGTCAAAAGTAAGGCTTACACACTATCCAGCTTACCACGGCAGTTGCCCAGTACTTATTTACATACTCCAGCTTCATCTCCCCCTAAAAAGATTACTTCATCCAAAGAATTTGGGAAACAAATATGCATTATGGTTTTTCCTTTGAAAAAGGCAATGTGCATTTTTCTCTCCTCACTTTCATCTGCCCTAGGCACTGTGAGCACTATGTCCTGCTAATGTTCACTTGGGTAATCCTGTGCCCAGAAACTCCTGATGGAAATCGTAGAAGTGAATCCATACCACAGTCATGTTACAGACTAACCAAAGGTAATCCTTCACGTGATTGTGGCCCTAGTACCATTAACTGTATTTGAAAAGGACTCCAATTTTAATAGCACTTAAAATACTCCCAAAAGAAATAAAATAGAGAATAAAGTCTGTTTTTGATTTTATACTATGTAGATTAAAAAAATGGAGTTCAAAGAGCTATTAGCAGTTTCCTCATAACAAATGAATGCCTATACCAGAAGCTGTCATGCCAGGACAATAGACCATTGATGGTATCCTCTCATACAGAGACAGTGGTGTGATAAGAGAGGAAGTCATCTGATAGTTTGGTGTGACAGTCACATGACATATGTAGGCTTTTTGTCTCCAGCACCCAATTATTAGACTCCTTGCACAAGCTGCTTAATTTTAGATTAGGGATACAGTGTGAGAGAATGCCAGTAACTCAGCAAGAACCTGGATGAACTCTTAGAAGAGCCCCACCCCCTGGGAGCCAGGACTCCCCAAGACTCTGAATGAGGTCTCTGCTGTTTTAGCAGACTTGCTTATTCATAGGTGGTGTCTCTCCAACATGGTTCCCTAGTTTCTGAACGGATGGACCTAAAGCACTGGAAGTGTGGAACCGAGTCACACAGAAACACATTGGCAGTGAGTTGGAGGGGAGGAAAAGAATTTTGGAGGTGACAGAGGACTTGACAGCAGCAACGGGGCACTGCATAAATCACGTGACTTTTCCATCCCTCTGTACCTCCATTTCCTGTCATTTTGTGTCATTTAAGAATAGTTCTTTATACCCAGATTCAGTTTTTCCAAGAAGTAACTGCAGATATTTCTTATTCTAAGGGAAGGAATTTAGAAATAACACTATCTGTGACATGATTATATTAAACCCTTGGGATTCTCTGAAGTGATTACACTTTTTCCTTGATGTGTTTTAGGTTGTCATTCTTTTACTAGTTTAGTAAAATTTGCCTCCCTCTTAATAGATACTTCTTATTGTAAACAATATGCTCTGGTGTCTAAAATTAAGAAAACTTCTTAGACTTGATCATGCTGAATCTTGCTCTCCCTCAACTACAGAAACCATACTTTTCTCTAGTCTAATATGCCAGTGGCATTATGACCAGGTGAAAATAGAAACTCAGATTGCATTTTGAAAACGGTAATCTGTTTTCTTCTTGGTCCAATGGATTTCTGCATTTCTGGTATCAGTCATGATATTAAGTCTTAAAGCTCCCAACCTGCCTATTTCAAGTTTATACGATGTCAGAACACTTGGATATGTGAGATAGAGCTGACTGTATTGTAGCATGCATTTGTGGTATGCAGTGTGGCAAATCAGCCTTCTAGCCGGCATTAACCACGCTCTACTCAATAAATAATAGCAAAAAAGCAAAAGCATCTCATTAGATTTGAGATCTGAAGTTACACAGAACAAACATTTGCCTGAAGGAGAAGAGGTGCTGCTGGGTGTGGTCCCTGATACCTTTCTCACATGAACTTTCAAAACCAATACTGAGTTGCCCCCTAGAAACAACTTTCGGAGTATATTTTCTTATGATGGATGAGGAAATCAGGGGGACAAGATGAGTTTCCCTCAAGTGTGGAGAGTCATTTCAATTTACAACTGAATATGTTTCCTTATAGCAAACCTTCGGTTTATTTTATTGAACCAGCTTCAGTTGTTTTGTTTGTTTGTTTGTTTGTTTTTTGTTTTTGTTTTTAATGGTGCCATCCACCTATGGAGGACAATCAAATGACCTGTTGTTTGCCTTGGATTCAGTGTCTATTGATTGAGTCTCTTCTTGTGTACCTTTGAACTTAATTTCTACTTGATGCCTGTCCGTGTGAACCACCACAAGTCAGAGGGCAGCCGGCAGCACTGTTGGACTCATGTGGACTTGTGAGAAAGGGCAGGGTCCTGCCTCACTGTCTCTCAAACACTATCCCAAAAGTTCTTGCCTGCACTTCTTCTGTCATCCTTAGCAACACTAGTGTGCTGTGGACAGGGAGAAAGAGTGCTTGTGACATTGTTATTGTTTCAAACTGTTAAGGTAAAAGTGTAAACCTCTCCTATTTCAGTTGCAAAAAGAACAAAACCCTTGAAGCTTTATTACATTGTAAAGATTCATTTTGTGGGGAAGCTTGTATCAATGAAGAGTAGGAAGGAAATAGGGTAAAACTTGTTATTTTCCTTTCAAACCCTCTGGCTGTACTGTGTTTTACACACACACACATGCACACACGCACACACACTGTGTTGGTCAGATGATGCTGTCCTGTGACTCCCTGAGATATAGTTGTCAAGAGTAACTATGGATTGTGATTAGTCCTCTGTGGGTGACTCTCGCCCCATTTGCCCCTTGCTTTCTTTCCTACTCTCCACTCTGGTGAATGGAAAAGGTGACGTCAAGGAATCAATGCTTGCTTGGACTCACGTCGTATCTGTGACTATGCTATTAGCTGTCTCCTTTTTCCTTCTTATATGGGTAGAATTCTTATGACCTGTGGATATCCCTTCTGGATAAGTAGACTAAATGCACAATGTGGTACTGTTCTATAGTTTCTAGATGGTGTAAAAAGCAAAAAGTCAATGTGCTTATGTGTTTTTAAAAGAAAATAAGTGATTGGTTACAAAACTCTGGCCTTTTTCATTATTACAAGCTCTGATTTCCAACAGTTTGCTGACTTGTCACTGCTGAGTGCTTTGTCACTGTGTGCCTTTCTCTCTGGGTGTCTTGGATTCCTGATCATTATTCCTCTTAGCACTAATACATGTATGGGCTAAGCACAAACAACTTACAGTGGTGAATTAGAAAAACATCATTGGGAGCTGGAGAAACCTCTCAGAGGTTAAGAGCACTGAGTGCTCTTCCAGAGATCCTGAGTTCACTTCCCAACAACCACATGGTGGTTCACAGCCATCTATAAAGGGATCTGATGCCCTTTTCTGGCCTGCAGGCAGAGCACAGTATACGTAATAAATAGATCTTTTAAAAAACTAAAAGAAAAACATAACTTACTAAATTCAAAAGCAATATTTTAAGAAGCCAGGCATAGTGAGTGGGCTATACCTATAATCCCCAGCACCCAGGAGGCTGAGGCAGGAGAGTTGCTATTAGTTTGAGGCAGGCCCTGGCTACATAGTGAGTTGGAGGCCACCTGGGCTAGAGAGAAAGAGAGAGAGAGAGAGAGAGAGAGGAGAGAGAAAGGAGAGAGAGAGAGAGAGAGACCCTGCCCCTAAAACTAAAATAATCTTGAATAGCTTTGATTTTTTTCAGGGTATGGCTGTAAAATGATGGAATTGAGGCAGCAAGTTTTGTCTTCTCTTACACAAGAATCTCAACTATTAAGTGAGACCCTGTGGAATTGTGTGCTGAAGAGCAGCAGTGCCCTGGCT